GAGACTTCAACTTTCCCAGCATAGACTGAGAAAAACATATAGGAATGTCAACAACCAAACATATAGGAATGTCAACAACCTGAAAAGCAATGGTGGACATGGTTAATGACTGCTTTCTTAACCAGTTCATTTGAGTACCTGCCAGAAAAATGCTTGTATTGATCTTGTCTTTTCAAACAATCAAGAGTGAAAGAACCATCAGGGAACTGTAATCATATATAGTATGTGTTATGAAGAATATTTTGAAACTGTGCAGATTGAGTCAATAGTCTATCACTTCAAGAAAGCAGATTCAGAAGAAATAAATGCAATTTAAGAAAAGTAGAATGGGACAGGATAGATATTGTGTAGAGGAAAATGAATGATAACAGTTTAAAGAAAATAACCCTTTTTTTCTTAAGAGTTAACAAATCGAAAGCTAATGGCCCAAATTGTGTCAACAAATAAATTGAGAAAGATGTAAAGAAAACTGCATGGCATCATGCTGGCACAGTGGTAAGCATCGCTGCCTCGCAGTACTGGGGCCCAGAGTTCAGTTCTCAATGTTCTCATGGATTTCCTCCAGGTGCTCTAGGTTTATTCCCTAAACATACTGGTACAGTAGGTTAATTGGTTACTAGGAAAATTGTCTCCCGGTGCAAGAGTGTGTGCTTGTGTCTGTGTGATTGGTGTCCCATCTAGGGTATGGCCTGCATTGTGCCTGTTGCTGGCTAGGTTAGGCTCCAGCTACCCCACAATGCTGCATTGGAAGAAGCAATTAGAAAATGGATGGGTAGATATAAGAAAGCATTACAAAATATTAAATAAATAGGACAAGTTAAAAAAAGGAGTACAATGAACTGCCTTTCCAATTAGGAGGATGACAAAAATGATTACAGAACAATTTCTATTACATTGCCACACCCCCAGTGTTGGGTGTGGGAAGACATGGGTGGTGGTTATTCAGAAAAGACTTAAAATAGGTCTCTGCTCACTGGAAATAACGGAAAAGTCACCAGTAGCAGTTTAATGATTCACACACCCCACAGACACACAAAATAATCAAACATGCAAAAACACCAGGTGACAAAACATATCAAAAACACTACACTTTGTAGCTTCCCACACTCAGATCTAAACTGATCTGCCTGTGGCCAGACAGCAAGCCATTTACACCACCAAGCCTTTCCCATAATATAGCATTTTTTCTATGTAGACACTTATAAAGGTGCTGAAAGGGCTTGATATTTCTGGTCTTGAATGGAAAAAGCTATGATTCAAATACAAATATTAAAAATCCTCAAAGGTACTGACAAAGTAAATGCAGTGGATTTGTTCCAAACTAATAATGAAACACAAACAAGAGGACATAAGTGGACACTACATGGAAGTGCATTTAAAATCAAGAATAGGAACAAGCTGTCTACTGTAGCCGTGTACAGTAGTTCATACTGATATTTTGGTTTCCTTCAAAAAATGGCTCAATGAGGTACAGTACCTGGATCAATGAGCAACTGACTACCAAATGAGTGAGAGGGTCCAATGGCATCCTTTTGTTTGTAACCTTTCTTATGTTTTTAAGTTCTTATAAATGTAGACCTTAATAAAGGAATTCTGAGATGCATTATATTATCTCATCTACATTATACACCAATACTTATTATTTACTAAGTGTTCTGTAGGCTAAGTCAGTTGCAGGGAAAACTCCTGCTTAGCATTCAAGGATCTCTGAGATAATTGTCTGCTGTCATGTTTATTGATTACAACAGAGAATGCTGACTAATGTTTGATTCACTTCTACCTTAGATTTAACAAGTTGCTGACTTCTAATTAATTTTGAATTAGATGTCATCATTAATCAGACAAAAGTAGCTGAATAGTTGAATTGTTCTCATCTTAACCTTAAGGAGAACCTTCAATTAGGAGAAAATGTTGTATAAATAAGGACATCAATACAGAACAACTAATCACAATTTATCTTCAGATGTTATCAATTTAGTCAATTAAAACTGTAAGCTATTTTTATCAGAACAATTAACACCTTGTATTACTTTTAGCACAGAGCAGAAGACAAATGGCTGAAATATAGCTTTATTCTGAAATGTAATGATAACTTGAAATATGTAAGTAGGAAATTATTTAATACAGATTTTTTTTTCTAATGTTAATGTTTATAATGCTTAGCTGCTTGAACCACACTGAATAACAATAATAATCATTATGTTTATAACTTGTAACAGCAGTATTATCCAATCCAGGATGTGGTTTTTCTAGGACTCTTTGAAGCACTTACACCTGAAGTCATAGTAGTTGACAAATTGCTCTAATTAAGCTAATAATGAGCTGATTAGAAGATGAGATGAAAACCTGCAGAAAATCCAGCCCTACCAGACAAGGTTTTAACACCCCTAATCAAGAATGTTTCCAGACTTTTCCAGACAAGAATGTTTCCAAACATAAAATACCATAAACCTGAATTTAAGCATCTACTGTATATTTATCCATACCTGTATGTGCATTCCAGAATTTGGCAGAGATAAGCTAAAAATCTGTATAACAAATATAATGTGTTGATTAGCAACCACCCTTTGCTAATTGCTCATAATTGGAAATCATTCTAAAAGCATAAACATTTTATAGGCCACATTAAAAAAAGTAGTATCATTTCTTGTTATGTCTGTTCATTGCAAAATGATTGTCTTTAGCAATACAGTCATATATAATATAACTCATTTAATAAATTATTATTCATAGGTGCCTGCCTCCCCTTGTAAAAAATAACATTAGAATTTCACAATGACAGCTGCTTGCCTTTGGTACTTCAGTGGCATTTATACATTACAGAACTGTCTTTTTGTTATATGTGAGAAAATGCTTAATTTTTATTCTCTGTGTAACACCAAGCTCTCATAACATTAAAAAGCTGGTTCAGGAATGTAAATTGAGTGCCAACGCATTTTATTTATGGTATTATTTTATTGACATTTTTTAGTTCACTTTGAGTTAAGTGTATATTTGTATGACTCATTATTTATACAAATTAGTAGTTTTACTTTTGTGATGACTATTGTTGTCCATGGGTCTTAATTGCTGTTTCAGAGATACCTAAAACACATCTTAAAACTTCAAACGAAGGATGTTTCCTTCACTTCTTAAGAGCAACAGTTGACTGACATTAGGTATTGATTAATGTTTCTATGATATGAGAGCCATTGATCTTGAAAATAATACAAACCAAAGAGGAATTTACTGTACTATGCCTTGAACAAAAATGGCTATTAATTAGATGTTCAGTACAAAATATGAGAGCTAATGGCATCAGACAACTGACTATTGTCTCCATTTCAACATATAGTAAGTTCATGCAATGTTTTGAAAAAAATGCATTGCTTCATAAATTGGATCCAAAATGCATCAAAATATTTAACCAGGAGAATGTGAGGGAGATTGAAAGACATGGAGAAAGCATTTTTAAAAAGCCATTTCATCTTAATTAAATGATCCACAGCCGACCCAAAATGCTAATTTTAGTAAGGAAAATACATTTGACTCTAGAAACTAACCGGCAGAAGAATTTAGAAGTCCCATATTCAATAATCTCATTAATACAGAGCTATTCTTCTGTTATTTTTTCTTTACACAAATGTCATTTGTATAAAATAAATTAAATATTTCTCATTTGAGGAAAGTGACCGTGATTAATCACCTCTTCAAATGACATAAATTTATGTTATAAATATTTTTGAAGCAATCTAAATTTTGGGATAATCCATATAGTAAATCCTCTAGGATGAGATATAAAGTTTAAAATTGTAAGGCCACTATCTAGTCTATTTTAGTCACTTTCTGTTTCTTCAGGGACTGCAGATTCCGTTCATATGGACAACTAAAGAATGCATTACATTTGGAACAATTGAAGAAAAAGTTGCAAGTGATCTTTCCTGACTTGCCTGATAAAGCTGACAATTTTTTTTTTAAATGTAATGCGAATGCACTAAAGTGCAAATTTCCTTTCAGTGTGACATTTTTGCATTAATGTCAACCTTATGTATATTTGAAATGTATAGGTTTAAATTATGCAGTTAATTAATTTATGTTTTCTTTTCTTTTTCTAACCATATGTTTAAAATCTACATCAAAAGATGCATTAATCTTGATAATTCCCTGTAAAACATTTATGAAAATAATTACATTTTATAACACATATACATTTGTGGATTTTTGTTTAGTCAACCATAAATGTATTCAGTGTGAGCACTCATGTTTAATACCTTAAAAATGTAGAAATACTGTATCATTTGTAATTTAATTAAACAAAATAGGATATCACTGGAGGATGAATACCTATTTAAGGGACTGTAGTAAATTAGATAGAATACTGTAAGTTGTTTGAAAGATTATTGAACTAAATTACTATTGCGTATCCGTTTGAAAAAAAAAGTAAAGCTGGCTCTTTTTTTGTCATGTCCAGTGTTTAGGAAAAGAGATACTGTACTGTATTGTATAAACGGGGGAATAAAACAAGTTTGGGGATGTCTTTAGTGACAGAACAACAAGCAAGACAAAATAATTTACCTTCATACATAAGAAACATAATTGACTTAATTGTCAAAGTGAATTTAAAGAAATACAGAATATAATATTATATTTAAAAAACGTAATGAAAAAACATCAAGCATATGTAATAAGAGTAACAATAAAATAAGAGTAAAAAACAGCATTAAACATGAGAAATAAGCTAATTTGAAAAAAAATACAGAACAAATGGTGCTGCTTCAGTTATTCCAATTTTATCAAATTATTATGCCAAAGCTAGATAATTTTTCATATGCAGCTCTTCAGACACATACTGTAGGTAAGCAGTATGACTGAAGTAGCATTCACCTTCTTTTAATTGTCATGTCCAATGGCTTTTTGCACTGCCATCTTAAGAAAATAGGTTCAGTGATTAAATAAATTCTGTCTGCAATAATATTTAATTCATTTCAAAATAATTAAAGTCACATCCAAAATGCCCTTACCTTTATAAAAGCAGTCTTCACTGTGAATAATGGTGATCTTCTGCCTCTTTAAACAGGCAGCACGGTGAAGTTCACAGTGGTTCTCATAGAGCTCTCCATCAGAACCACACACTGGTTTGTAATGAGGTTTGCAGTGTTCCATGCAGGCACATTCTCCTTGTCCCGTCTCCCTGTTGACAACACAGTGTCGCCCCAAGCCACAGTACTTATTTTCACAGGCTCCAAAATAAACACCCTGGCCAAAATACCCTAGAAAAAAGAGACAACATTTGTCAATTCAGTTTACTCTTTTAAATGTCAAAATTCCACCTTCACAAAATCCACACAACTGTTTCCTCTTGAATTAAAAAAGTTACGAAACAAGCTGAAACTTTCTGAAAATTTGAAATGTGTTTACACAATTCTCCGGGGATCTCTTATAAAGCAAGGACATCTATTTGTGTTAGGATGGGCAACAGTGGTTTTGAACAAGGGGAGAGAACACAGGAAATTGAAAGAGCTGAGATCAAGGAAATAAACTTTTAATTTAGTATTAGGATATATAAGAGGGGAAATATTTAGTAAAACTTTTCTAGGTTGTCAAAGAAGCCACTCTGCTGTCTTCATAGCTATTCTTCCTTGCAGAGGATATTGCACTACTGTCTGGCCATCACAAGGTTGCAATTGCTTCACAATTCTGTTATTCTTTATTAGACACAAGTAAGTAGAAGGTAAACACATACAGTAAGATATCCAAGAACAAATCAAACCACAAAATCACATTATGATAGATTAAATTTCAACTGAATTTTGAATATGCTTTTAAAACAATCTAGAAGGGGTCTTGTGTAACTTGCGTAAGTGCAAGACAAACTCTAAGATGCACCCCTTGAGACAGGATGGTGTCGTTAGGAGCTGTGACTGAGATTCCAAAGTGAAGAGTCAGTCAAAGTGTACACAGATTATATCTGTTAAAATGTACAGTACAGTAGGTCTTTTTTGCTACCATCCTTTAATTAATAACAATATAGGTATAGTACTTGGAACATTAAAATCTGTATTTAGAGACTATGGAAAGATTTTAACTGTATATATACAGTATATATTTCTTTAATCCTAGATATTAGTTAAACCTTACATTAAGAACATTATATGCAATATGCAAAAATAGAAAGCAAGTCTGTATTTTCAGAACTGACACTACCAAAGATTGCCTTTTAAATCAATAACTATGATTTTTAATTTACTAATAAAGTGCTTTCCTAACATAATGACTACAATAGCTACTAATGAATGTAATGAGAAAAAGGATCGCTGTGATCTTCAAATGACTGTCTCCTTCACATGTAATCCCCACTTTAAGATGGCAATTAACTTTGCCACCTTACTTAACATCAGTTAGAGCACACTGAAGTATTCAAAAGAACCAAAAGAAAAACATAATAAGTACATTTTTCTGAATATTATTTTTACATTAAACATATTTGATGAAACATTGCCAAATTACAAGCAATATCTAAACACTGGTCAGTATTAGCTAAACCAAGCATTAGATTTGTTCAACTTTGTAATTGTGATTGTGTTCAATAAAATATTTTAAAATAAAATATTATATTTGTCACTTGGCCCTATAATTCATATTAATCACAGATTCACTGAAAACAAAGGCAGGGTCTACATGGTTTTCAGAAACAAATACCACTGTTTAACTAAGATAACATTGCATGTACACTACAAATCCTGAGCAATAGGCAATTCTGCAACAGGCAATGTTCATACAAAGAACTGGAATAAAAAATTAAATCTTGATATTTAACAGATATACAACATCACTAAGACTCACAGATTTTGTAACTTTGTGCAACAACTGCAAAAGGCATACAGTTGTTTTGTGAAACTTCAGGAGCAAATAGTTCTGAAAACATTGCAGAACTTTAAACAAATAAAATCATACAAGGTAACAATTTCTGTGAAAATTTAATGAGATGTGACAGAGTTATCTAAGAATATCTACCCATAAAACAAGTGGAAAATCTTAGATCCCTAGTCCCTATCCCTCTCTAACAAGTAACATTTTGATCATTTGTCTTTTTTTAAAAATATAGAAATTAAGATTTACAAATGAATACAGCACTGTACAATACAGTACAAAGAGGAAGAAAATACACATGCAGCAGTAAAATCTTTCAAATAAAGTATGGAATAAAGGATGGAGAAGAGAGGTGCAATAAGGAAACACAAGGGCAGAACAAGATAAAACAAATAAGTAAGACAGTGTAAGCATAAAAGATATAGAGAAGTAAAGAGATCCTTGATTGGGACTCGTACCATTAATCTTCTGTCAGCGCATCAGTGTCAGTGATATTGCTTTTACTTTGAGCAGTGCTATGAGCCGCCGCCTCTTTATCATATCTTGGCAGTGTTTCAGTTTGAGAGTAAAAACAAAATTGGAGTAAGGTTGTCACACCCACGCTGTTAGTGAAGTGTGAGGAAAATTAGATTGGTTGCAATACCAAAAAGATGGAGCAGCCACAATAGCAATGTACAGTATGTGAAGAGAAAAATATTTATTTGGGGATCAGAGAACAAAGTTCACTCGCAACATACCTTTTTACCATTTATGAATGACTTTGCTTTACATTATGTTTGCACTCACAAAGTGAGCCAAGCCATCCCAAAGATTATGTACTGTACTGCTTTTAATGTACTGTTTCTATTCGCTAATGACTTTGTTTAACGTTGTTTGGAAAGCATATTATTTACTGGTATGTGTGTGTAAATCCCTGTTGAGTACTGTCTGTAGTGGTAACAGTTTTCAGTTGCATAGAGGTTTCAGCTACAGTATTTCCTTATTTTCTCATCTGTGAAACAATTGAATAAATCCGTTCTGCAGTACACTTACTTTCGCACCTAAAACATTTGCTGTAAATTGGTTTCATCTCATTGAAGTAGGACTTAAGCAGGTAGATGTAAAACAGAACATATGGATATGGTTCTAACAAATAGAAGTTCTTAAGTGAACTTCAAAAGGGATAATGAAAAAACAAACCATTTTCACCCAGCTGTTATAAAGCACAATCATTAACGACATTCGCTTTAAACATTATCTCATGCAAGTACCTCTCTTTTGCATTTTATTTCATTTGTCTATACATCAACCATATGCCAAACTACATACACAAAAGGAAAAGTAAAGACAGGTTGGAAGAAAAAAGTAACTGATATACAGTATATTCAATCTGTCTCACATTTGTCTCATCACATTTTGGCTCACGCATTATTCATGTATACATGGAACGTGTTGTTCCAAACAAGAAAAAAAGAAAGGAAAAAACAAGACAGAACAAAAGGGAAAAATGTTCTACTTGTGACGCTTTTGCACCACACATTAATAATCTATATAAGTAATGAATCTACAATATAAGAATCTTTTTAAGAATCTTCCCATAATAAGCCTAATGCTTCATCTCCCCTCATTGCAATCCTTGAAATCTATAAAGACCAAAGTCTAGTTGAGTTTAAAGGGGAGTTTCTACAAAGGCAATGCACTGATTTTGTTTTTTACTTTTTACTTCTTTCAGGGTTAGAACAAGAAAGCTTCTGTCATCCAGCATACTTCCACCTCCCATGAGGTTGTTACCCAGAACGCAGCTAGATTCCATTTTTTTTTATCAAACTGTCCACTGGATTGCTCTGCTACCAGCCCTAAAACCAAACCTTCCATTCTACCTTGTTTCCCTTATTTTACTTCTCTTAACATTACCTTTTCAGAGTCAGTTTTTTTCTTCTGGTTGTCTACTATTCCTGCTTGTTCTCCTCTTCTTGATCCCTAGTTTTCCCTGGCCTCCAATCATTCATTCTTATCCTTCATTAAATTATTCTCCACCATTTCTTCTGTGCTTTCTTATGCTACTATCCCTGCCACCCAGTGTAGTCCAATTGTAATATTTTTGGTATCTTCTGCCCTGGTTATCTTCCCCTACTGCTAATGACACCACCTCCCCAGCCCTGGGTCTGTCCGGCATTATAATGCTGGTTCAGTGAGCAGGTGTACTACACTCTACTTTCTAATGTCTACCTTTCCCTTTCTGTCTCTATCCCGCTATCCAACATAGCACCTTTGGAGCCTTCATCAATGGGTTCCTGCCTCTTATCCCCTGTTGCTCCTGATGCCACCTCCTTGGCCTACATCTGTCTGGTGTCCTATTTCTGGCCCAATCAGGAAACACCCTACAGCATTTTAATGTATCCCTTTCCTCTTGTCTCTATACCCATTGTCTAGCGTGGAACAAATTCTTGGGTGCCTTTGGCTACAGTTCCTGTCCTTTTGTCCCTTGCTGCTCCTGATGCCATCTGTCCAGTCCTGGGTCTTTTCCAGCATCCTAGTTCAGGTTCAGTCAGAAGGAATCCTTAAGTATCCTGTTTTTAATGTAATCTTCACTTTTCCTCCTACTTCTATCCCCAGCACCCAACATCGCTAAACTTCCTTGGTGCCTTCAGTCCTGGATTCTACTGCTCTTGGTGCCACCTCCTGAGCCTGGGTCTGTCTAGTGTCCAAATGCTGGTATATTCAGCTGGCATCGTACACTCTTCCTTCTTATATAACATTTGCCTTTCATATTCATTTTCTGAAATTTTTATTAACACTCTACACCTCTTCCACTTTTATTGAGGATGGATACAACAGACAATTAGCTTATTTATCATCTGAAAGGATGCAGCTGTCGGTCCTGATGCTCCTGGTACCTGACAGCTGTGCTTCTCTCTATTTAAATGTGTGCTCCCTGTTAGGAGGTGTGTGAGATAGCCAGAAACGGGGTACAGATTACACACCAAAGAGCTCTGCAGAGGAGCTGCCGAGGGAGACTTAAAGAATAAGGTGAAGGTTCAAGCTGCTAACAGAGGCAAGGGGCAAACAGTGAGAAATTAGACAGAAAGAATGAACCAAAGGCCTGTGCCACTGGGAATGAGACCACAGAGCTTCATGATCAAAGACAGAGTAAGAGATTGAACGATAAGCCAGAAAAGGGCTGCTGCATCGACAGACAAGAAGCTGCAATTAGCTCATAAATTTCTTAGTTATGTTTCCTGTTTTGTTTACTGGGTGAACACTACTTCTTTTTCTGTTGAATGAGCTAAGGCACTGTCACACTGTAACAATGCAAACTTCATTGTGCTGTCTTTTGGTTGATCAGCTTGTGACAATGTGTTTAAGCCATTGCGATGAAATTATTTGATTATGACAGCTATATTAGGATTGATTTAAAAGA